AGCCTATCTACCATAAGAATATGAGCGAAATCGAATTTTCGACCCTTGCCGCGAAATTAAGAATTTGTCTGATTTTTACAGGCAGGCACTCTTAATAACCGAGAGTAAGGTCGTTACGGGAAAATCTCAGACTGAGGCCTTGCCGTATTGATAACGACCGAACGGTCGAGGTTATTAAGTTGTTTATTATATGGCTCATGAATTTAATAAAGAAAAGAAAAAATTATTCGAGCGGAAGTCGTCAATTTACATCCGGTGATGCATGCATTTACCAATTCATTCATTGTCTCAAACCCAGGGCAAAACTACACAGTCAGTGACCTTCACGTATTCTGTGAAAAACACACATTTCTTTATGGGAAAAATGATTGTCACAGCCTCAACAAGGTATTTTAGTACCGTGGTGCCAAAACTTGATGGGGGAGTTTTTCCGACTTTCGTGGCGAAATGTCAACGCATATAGAAAAGACAGAAAGTGCTTCAAAATAGTCCAAACCAAGGGTCTTCCGGTGAAAGAAAATACTAATGTTTCAGAATGTACTGCTCAGAATAACTCAATCTCCGCATCACTTTGGACAACATATCTTCACCTTCTTCATTCTGGGATTTATGGATGAACTTTTCAAGCCTTGTGAACGTCTAAAACTACCTGCAGTTATCAGAAACAGTGCTACCAACAGAAACCGCCCGATTGTTTATATTTGATGATCCTGGAAGCTGATTTACACTTGCTTGTGTTAAAGCGAGGGAATCTATTTGATAAGAACTGTTGCGGAGTTCATTATTTCAGTAATTGTTGTGATTAAGATGATGACTTATAAGTTTCTTAGTAGTGTTCTGCTCAGGATGCATGACAGATCTGCCGATGGTGTTTTTCACTTAGCGATTTTAGCTTTACCAGACTTGGTAAACTTTGATTGTTTTTCACCAGTTCCCGCCAAGGTTCCGGCTGGTAAGTCAAAAACGACTTCCATATAAATTTTGTTAAGGAAAAATCTCTAAACTTCTAGCAACTCGGATTAAATTTACTTTCTCTTACTGTTTTTAATCGGCTTTCATCGTTTCAATGCGTTTGGATTTTCAGAGCCGGGCCCGTCTTCCTAATTTGCATAATCCGTAATCGGCCCGTGGGCATTACAGCTGCATAATGACCGTTCAGATCTCGTTCTTAGCCAATCAGAACGCGCGTTATATTGACCACAAGCCAAAGCCATATAATAATATTATTTTAAAATTCTCCATTCACTTATTTCAAACTTGTTAAGTCAAACAATCATAATGAAGTTATTGTATATGTTCATAGACATTGTCTAGTCTACATGTAATAAATGTATAGGCTTTAGCAGCTATTAATAATACCATCTGCTACTGAACTGAGTGAAGGTGCTATACCAGTACTTTCTTTTCAAAATTTTCTTACATTTTCACCTCATATTTAACTGTCAACTCAGTGTAAATAAAGAATTTTACTGAAACTTGCAAAAAGAAGTCAAAGACGATTTACAGCATATCTATCAATCACTGAGAAAACTACTTTTACACAGCTTCTTACCATCTTCCTCTCGTGCACGTTGTTATAGAGACAGTGTCGAAAATGGTGGCTGTGACTGGAAACATTAAGAGGGAAGAATGGTGTGAAGTTCGACATGTTGGTCAGTCACGAGATACTGGTTACGTTGAATTGCTCCTTTGGCCAACAATTTAGACAGCAGCCTGCCCAGCAGCGAAAATTCCAACCACCACCTTAGTCTGAGGGGAAAAATACAACTCTTCCAAAATAGCCAAAAAAACTGAACAGTGCGCTATCTGCTACAAATTGGAAATCTTTGGGTTAATCAACTAAACGAAACAGACAACCTCGTCCGTGCCGACGCCATGTTTTTGCAACTTGTGTCCAGGCTATCCCGGTATTTTGACATAGCGTTGCATATTACGTAAGCACGTTTTTTTTGCGATACAGCGATGAACACTTCTAGGAAATGTTGTATAAAATTTTGCATCCTTCCCAAGCTATTTCGCCCGTTTAAAAGGTCAAATCATAGATTTTACGTTCCCACATGCGAAAGGTCAGATAAAGAAATCGTAAAAGTTGCGCAGGATCTCGACGATCACATCGCAAATAGTCGAAATTTATTTGTCATAACTGGTGCCGGCATTTCTACTGAATCTGGAATACGAGATTACCGATCAGAAGATGTTGGTCTCTACGCCATAAGTGACAGTCGACCAATTCAGTACACCGATTTTATTAACAGCGCTGCAAATAGGAAGAGGTATTGGGCAAGAAATTATGTTGGATGGCCGGAGTTTTCTACTAGAGAGCCTAATGGAGGCCATTTTGCTCTTGCACAGCTCGAAAAACTGGGGAAAGTTCATTGGCTCGTAACGCAAAATGTCGACGCTCTCCACACCAAAGCTGGTTCTCAAAGGGTATCAGAGCTTCATGGCTGTTCACACAGGTGATAAAGGTGGTAGTCTGCGGTTAACTCGTACCATGTAGTATAGTATTACTGTTCAAAGTCAGATGATCTTGACCTTGCAAAGTAATTTCGTTCCCAGATCTCTTGTGGACATCTCAATTGACACTCAATCAACACTCGATCAACAGTCGGTTGATAGTTTGTCAAGTGTCAACCAGCTCATATGCATCATTCGAAAATTAGTTGACTCTCGACTGACTGCTGACCAAGATGTCAATCAAGTGTCAAGCGAGTGTCAACCAAGGTGTCGATGGAGTTTCAATCAAGGGTCGATCGTGGCTATCGATTGAGGGTATCAATCCATGTATCGATTGACACTCGACTGCAGATGCCTTTAGTATATACATGATCCAAGGTTTCTCTCTCTTCCCATTGGGAACATTCTATACAATTTGCTCACCCCTCTGAAATGTAGTTGCTAGTTACTGGAAACTGGAATTAAATGAGAAGCCCCAACTCTTTTGGTTGATTTGCTTAAGTATGGTAAAACACAACTGCATTATTAAAGTGATGCTCTTGCCAACTGCTTCCTTTGGAGAAAATTAATGGTAACAGGTAAGCACCCCAGAATGACTCATCGTCTGTTCTGTGTGCCTGTACATGTCAGAGTCTGCCAAGAAAAGTTAAATCTGGCTTCAAGCCTAGTTAGGTTCCTAGGCAAATGTTAAAATTAATAGAAGTCTTGTTACTCTTCCTGTGGATGGAACACTTCTCTGACTAGCATGTTAATACAGCCCTGCTACCAATTTGAATATTGATTCCTGGATTGCGAGAGAGGCACTCTAGGAGTGAGGTGTAGAAATGACCCCAGCTAGGGCTCAATCTCAGACCTGTCGATTCGGAAGGAAAGAAAGAAGGAAGAAAAGCCGGCAGGGCAAGCAAAACAAGATCATACCTCCTCCCCCACCCCCCTGGCTCAAGGTCTGGTTCTGCCACTGCATGAGGTCAGTAGTTGAACTTGTGAAAGGAAGTCTGTAGTGCCTTCAGTAGAGTAGGGTTTAACGAATAGCATACTTAACATTCAGGCAATTATTATTGAGTCAAATTATATTGCTTTGAAGGGTGGTTTGTCTAGGATGCAAACAGCAAACCTCTCGACATGATCTTCAACACAGAATGAAAGAGCTTAATCCTACTTGGGAGGCCGTTACAGAAAGTCATGCCCCAGATGGCGATACATTCCTCACAGATGAAGAAGTGAGCGACTTCACAGTCCCTACCTGTCTCAACTGTGGTGGAATCTTGAAGCCTCAAGTGGTGTTCTTTGGAGATTCAGTTCCTAAAGAGACCGTGTCTTTTATTCATGAACGATTGCTTGAATCAGATTCAGTTTTAATAGTAGGTTCTTCAGTTGAAGTGTATTCATCATATCGTTTTGTTCATACCGCCTGGCAGCAGAACAAGCCAATAGCTATTTTGAACATTGGTCCAACAAGAGCTGATAAATTAGCCTCAATTAAAATGTCAGCCACTGTGGGTGATGTGTTACCAAGACTAAAAATCTTATCAGCTGCTACTGGTATTAACCATGCAAGAAAACTGTGAAGCATGGCAATATATTATATGGGTGTAACAAGGCATGGTCAAATTCTAGTTAACCTTTTACATGCATCTAGATATCTCCTGAATATTATTTCCTCTAATATTAATTGCCCAAGTATGTAGGCTTGTTTCCCAGCTGCTGTTAGTGGCAGAAATTGAGCCTACCCAGGATGCAGCTTGGCTCAATGTAAAAAGATTTTACTAAAATTATATTCACTAACACTATACAGTCACTTCGTAAATTTCTCTGATCTCTCAAATAAAGTCTTATATTTCATGGAAACCTTGCTGCTGTCAGACTTCCTGTGCTTAGCTGGTTTATCAAGTGTCCCAGAACAAGCTGATCAAAATCACATTTTGCCGTAATATGTTATTGCATTGCTTTCCACCAGCAATCAACTGCACTTTTTGTGTACAAAACAGACTGCTCATGGAACATACATGTACATGTGCTGTACATTATAGTTATGTTAACTTGCCTTGTTGCAAATAATGTCAACTGTAAAGCCTGGTTCACAATAATATTGTAAGACAAACACAAGTGCAAGCATAATCACAAGGATGTCCACACTAGTGGCACACCTACGTGCAGTGCGAGTAACAGTGGAGACACAAGATGGCGATTGATAGAATGGTTGCACTTATTCTTGTCCTTATTTCATGCCAGTTCCCATATGCAAAATAGTGGAATAAGCAGGAGAGCAAGAACAAGAAAAAGGAAAATATATCTTTTTCTTGCGCTTATGCTTGTGCTTATTTCACCTTGGTGCACAATAGTGTTTTCTCGTGTTTATGCTAGTGCTTGCACATGTACTTATCTCACAAGTGTGAACCAGGTCAAGGATCCATATAATTTAGCAGTTGTCATTTGTGTGGTCACCCAGAACGACTTTAAAGGTAAGTTTTGAGAAGCAACTTTCCTTCATTTTCTGAAGAAGTACCTACATTTTGGATGTCCATCAATGTTATTATTATGTGCTAATTTTATTATTTGATCTTTTGACACCATTTATATGTACAGCTTTATGATGTACCTTTGCAAAAGTTTCTAGGCTCAATATTAAATCATACTAAAACCATACTAAAGCTTCAAGTGGGGGAGAAGTAACTGGTACAGATGTTTCACGATATCTTCACTCTCAACGCAAAGAAACAGTTCTCTGAATACATGCAAGCGAGTTGGAAGATCTGATAGCTTCACATTCAAAAGGTATGAAAGGCTATTCACACAGAGTCGTGGGGAGTTCAGTTGAAGACCAATGGTACAAATTTGCACAATATTGGTAGTGCTGATTAGAGTGACTAGGAACGTCTCACAGATAATTCTCAGTTGATCTAACATGAATCTATCTGAAAAAGTTAAGAGTTCTAAAAAGAACTGTACTTTGGTGTCCATTCCTTGAAGGTTGCCAACTTTTCTCTGTAGCACTTCACAGCAGCATGACACAGAGGACAGCATTTTAACACAGCTCTGTTCCTTACTAGGCAGAATGTTGCATCCATACATGTGATGAACAGCAAATTCAAAGACACCTGTAGAAACATCTGGAATTGGAATGACAGACTGCATTGACTCAATGAAACAACTTGACAGCATAGCAGTAAAGACATCAGAAGCTGACTTCATGACTTCCTTATGTGCAGCAATGATATCTCCACTGTCCATCTGAAATGCCACATCATGAGGACCATTGATATTTTCATTGTAGGGACATGAGGAACAATCCCGCTCATTTTTGATACAATGTTCTGCATTCTTGGAGAGCAACAGCAGTGACTTACTAGCATTCACTTTCAACTTTTTCACTTGGTGTAGGTCAGCAAAAGCATCTGTGTTCATTGCTTGAGGATCATGGATTTTGTCATCTGCAGGTTTAGTCAGTCCATTAGAAATGTTAACTTCTTCCTTCTCATCAACCTCTGCAGGACATGTTACTTGTAAATCATTGGCCAGGACCACCAGAGACTCCACAGCCATTGTAAAGGTCTCGCCATTTGCAGCCACTGATTTGAACAAATCACAAAACATCCTCAAACCCTTCCTTTCAACAAGCATTTGCTGCTTCAATTTTTTGGTCCTAGAGATCAAATGAAAGATAAAAAAGTTACACTATAATTGAACTTCACTGAACAGTACATAAATTAATTAAACATGTATATGACATGCGTCAACATGGACAACTATGAGATCTACATTGTAAGGGACTCAAAATATAAACAGAGAAGTCATTAAATGACTCACAGTATAACTACACCTGTATATCTGGTGTATCAAAAAGTAAATTCAATTCAATCAAGCTAAAATAATTAATCTAATCAACTGACTCTTCTTTTCCTTTTCTTTTTGTATTCCATCTACTTTGCAGTATGTGTAATTGTGTAATGTACAATTCATGTACTGGGGGGGAGCCTCCCATTTAAAAAGGACAGGGTGTTCGTCGTACCTTTTAGGGGTTAGAAAAGCGGTTTTGGTAACTCTCAGGGTGTTAAGACTTGAAATGTCCACAGCAGGAGCTTTTGAAGTAACTTTTAGGGTATTGAGCCAAAAAAATATGACAGGAGATAATGTGTCATGTAAGAATTGGTACCTCTTAGGGAAAAAAAAATTCAAGCCACTACCACAAAACAGGATCTTGGTACCTCATATACGAGGGGTGATTACTGCCAATAAAAATAAAGTTTGGGATTTTGTAATGCTCTTTGGCAATGTCGTTTTTAATGTTTTCACTGGTGTTTTTGATGTTACGAATTGTGTTTAACCTGTTCTCGATTATGTTTGCCAAAACGTTGCTGTTGTTTTTGTTGCCCTTGTATTTGATTATTTGTCGCGAATTATGTTTTCTGCGTTAACAATTCTCTTCTGTATCTACATATTACATTGTTCTGTATGGTGTTATGCGAATTGCGATTCTATTATTCGTGTTTCAAATTATGTTCTTCTAAATCCGGGTCTCCAGAGAGCTTGACCAAGTGGTGTGAGTGATACATTATGCATAGTTTGCTATGAAAAGAAAATTTGCACTATTCTCGCAAAGCTGCAAGATGCCCAAAGTTGAGAGGAATTGCCTTTGAGCATGGATAAATGAAATTTTACAACAATTTGCCTCATCAAACTTGCATTCTGATAGCCGGGTTTAGTGTTCCCCAGACATCAACACTCCTCGAACAGTGGAAAGTTGCCTGTGTGAGCATAGGTTAAGTATTTGACAGATGTACACCAACATGAATCATTGACAGCGATCTAGATCGATGGCCTGGTTAGGTGCATACTACAGGAGTTTCCTAATGCTGGTTACAAGAGAAGGACTGGTTTCTTACTTCTGTTACTAAAGTAGGATACGATCTGTTGTGCAACAAATCAACCCCAAGGGTTGTCTCTAGATCTTGAGATCACTGGAGTTGAACGTATTGCATCGCTGCAGTATGGACAGGCATATTTTCGTCATTTGAGGACTCTCCCAGGAGATTTGATATCTGAGGAACACTAAACCGCCATTCTACCAGACATTCCACTTGTTCTTGAGGAAAAATATATTTCGGTCTACCATGCTGACCCATGAAAAGTTGTTCAGCCATATGTGCAGAAAGAGAAAGATTACAGGAGCTGAGTAAGTCATCAATTCCATGAACTCCATCAAACCTCGCAACTGTGTTATACAGAGTTTCAACAATAAAAGACTGATTCCTAGCTCTCAGAAACCAGGTTTGGTGAGGCAAATTGTAGTAAAATTTCATTTATCCATGTTTAAAGACTATTCCTCACAACTTCTGCCATCTTGCAGCTTTGCGAGAGTAGCATAAATTTTCTTCCTGCCAGAAAAATTGCATACCAGTGATTAATCACTCACGCTAGACCATAGCAGTTGAGCTCTCTGAAGACCCAGATTTAGAAGAACACAATTCAAAACATGACACAATGTGTAAATTATACAGAAGAGAACTGTTAATGCAGAAAACATAATTTTCAACGAATAAAAAGGGGCAACAAAAACAACAGCAATGTTTTGGCAAACATAATTGAGAACAGGTTAAACACAACTCATACCATCAAAAACACCCGCATTGGCAAACAGCAAAACAAAATCACAAACTTAATTTTAGCGGGAATCACCCCTCATACTCTTTGGGGTTCTTTTCAAAATTTCCGACAAGCAGTCCCGTCCTTTTTGTGTGGAAGTTCCCCCTGCCCCTGGGACATGTACATTCTCATTTACATCATGAAGTGCATGTAGATCATGATTTTTGCCAGTTACTTTTGACAACCCTGGACTTGGTAACATTTTGGGTAATTGTCGAGGAAAAGGATGTTATTCATCGTAGTAGATGCAATAATAAAATGTATTATCGTTTGTCACACGATGTAGTCACTTTAGATGGAGATCGCGATGTTTCGACTGCTTACTGCTTGTCTTCTTCAGGCAATAAGGTCGACTGATTGCACGGTATCATTTATATCACAAAGGTCAGCTGTGATTGGTGCATATCGATCCTCCTATTGTTCCATTGTTCCGACGAGTAGCTGTTCTCTCAGTGGCCCGCTGTTGTACCGTTATCCTGTTGTTGTGTTTTTTGATCATGGGCATCCATGCTTCAGGAATTTCAATTCCACTATCCCTGTTGATGTTACTAAGGTGAAGTCTTCCTGGCTGTAATGTACATGTGCAATATACATGCATCATTACAGTTTGTCGGCTTGTAGTTCCAGGATTGCCAAAAATAGCCTGATGCCAGCAAAAATCAACATCTACCTCAACATCTTAGCTAGCTACTCTGCTCTACACATGTGTACATACATGATCTTACTGGCATTAAGTGTCATTGTGTACCTGCATAAGAGTGGCAAAGCAAGCACACACTCTTCACGTTCTCCCTTTGATCCTTTGAGAAGTAAATTTTCAAGGACACCTTTTCCAAATGGAGTTTGCACTTGGGTTGAAAATGTCTCCAGTAAATGTTTCCCAGTTTCTTGGCAGTAGCTTTGGGTTGATGAAGACATGACATGGCACGTAACGCTAGCCTTGGTTTTGTCCTCCTGCTCAGTGATACTGTCTACAGAATGCATTGTGCTGCAAGGTGTCCGTAAACTCTGTCCCTCTGAACTACATGTAACAGTGGAGGGTGTATCCTCATTTGTTGTAGCTTGGCTTTCACTACACATGCAGCACAACTGATGGTGGACTGCAACCACAGCTCCATTCACAATCAAAGCCTTCAAACACAGTGGATTTGTCGCCAGACAATTAAGGAGCCTTGCACACTTGGGACTTGGATTGTCAACCAAACGAAGATAATCCAACAATGCTTGGATGCAGGGTTTGGTGACAAGAAGAGAGCTTGGATCTGTCATCTGTGAGATGCGCCATAACAACAGCATGGTATCATGACCTGGACCACGGTGATGATGTAATGCTGCTTGAGCCTTAGGAGTTAAAGGAGATGGTAAGCTTTCATTTGACATGGTTTCAGCCTGAGAGTTGGCAGAGATTACAACTGACCGATCACTTTGGCTGGCAGTAGTTCTCAATGTAAAAGAATTCTTCAAATCCAGGGTCACATTTTGGCTTTCAGCACACACAGATTCAGTGTCTCTAGGTGGTAATCCACTTGGTTCATCTGAATCATGTATAGAGGTGTTGACTGTTGGAGCTGTAGAAACATGATCAGTTGACAACACACTTGGGCGACTGGAAGGTAACAGATTTGCACCATGACTCGATGAACATGCCAGAGATGAAATACTACGGGAGTAAGTGCACACTGACACCAATGATGTTGTGTCCGTCTGTCTGGAAGCAAAGCTGAACACTGATCGTCCATGTCCTATGGTACGCACACCTGGTGGAGGAGTGGTTGGAATAGGAGATGGCTTCAGCTTCATCCCACTTCTCCTTTTAAACTTGGAAAGTTGGCCACTCACTTTTGAGTCTGATACCTCCTTTGCTATCTCTTCCACCTTTTTTAAGAAACTTTCATCCATTGGAGTATCTGCGCTTGCATCAAGAAATGCATCTTTGACTGCAGTAGCCCTTAATGAGTTTTCTAATGAAACATCAGATGTGAAAGGCAGCTGATCTGAAAATTCCTCATCATGACCGTCACACTTATTTCTGAAAGGTGCATCTGAGATGATTCTTTTCAGATGATTGACAAGAGTTGGAACCAAACCTCCATTTAGAAGAACATCTAATGCTGCCTGATAGTGCAAAAACAATGAAAATGCATGCACAATCTTTTTATTAAGAGAAAAAGTACATTTTCCTGAAGACAAGACCTTAAGGAGCAGTTCCAGTGCTGAAGATTCAAGCACCCTTACACGATTAATTCCTTCTCGGCAACAAAAACAAAGTCCTTCAATTGCCTTGGAAGTAGCATGGCCAGTTTCTTCCCTCTTAACTTGCTGAAACAAAGACTGAATTCCTCCTTCTATACCAATGCAAACACGCACATGAGCATGATGGGTCAAATTTGCCAAAGAAAGTAAAGCTGGGTGCCTGACTTTTATGGAGTCACTATTGGCAAGTTTAACAATGTATTTCACACCGCCATAGTCTTGAATTTGCTGAGCCATTTCTCTGCTACATTCTTTGGTGAGTTCTGCCACAGTTTTGATACAGCAATTCACCAGAGCTGGCTTGTCAGAATTAAGCATTTCCATGATTGTTTTCACAGCATCTAAATCTAGTACAACCTGTTTTTGTGCTGAAGTTGTGCAAAGCATTCTCAATGCTCTCAAGACTGACTGCTGGCAATCACTGTCAGATGTCTTCAATGAAAGCTTAACAAGTTCAGGAATAACTCCAAGCTCTTCCATGACAAGTACATTAAGCTCATCTTCTGCTAAGTTTGCCAGTGCTCTAGATGTCCGGTTTAAAATGCTGGTTTTCTCACTCATCTTCAACACATTAGCTATTGAAAAAACAAAAAAACTATACTTTAAAAAGAGTAGTGTTTATTTTAACAAGTTCTCAGTATTGTGAGCCAGTGGCTTTTGGTAACTTTTGATATAATTTTATATATACAACCCTGTACACTATTTCAGCAGATATAGAGTTACATGTACATATAGGTTAACAGGTCAAGGGACTTCACGGCAAAAATTACTGATTGGATGGTGCAATTTTAACATTCCATTTAAAGTGGCTCTCTATTTACATGTACATGTAGTTTTATGGCCACATCTGTGCTGAGGATGAAAGCTTTGGTAATCTACATGTGCTCAAAGGAAAACATCAAGGTGTTTTGATATTCTATGACAACAGTATGGCCACAGAAAGCAAAAATTGACAAGCCCATAACATTCAGCGGACTGGTTATTACTATTTTCAATCTGACCAGGGCCCTGTTTCTCGAAGGTCCCGAAAAGTTTTCGCACCCGAAAAGCCATTGCAAAATCTCAAACCTTATGACTACAGAGCTGTTTCATCCATATATTCTTAATATGAGCAGAGGTTCTCTTCATACAAGAAGTTTCAGTTGATACACCTCTGTCTTTAAATACAGATTAACTAAAAATGCCATTGCAAGCCCAAAAAGTTTCTGGGGCTTTCAAGAAATAAGGCCCCAGTTTTCATGTATATAAAATTTGAGCAAAAATAATTTTAAACAACTGCCAGACAAGTAGAGCTGCTACTCTTTTTTGTAGTTGAAAATATTCTGTGCATGTTTAAAACACGAAAGGACAAAATGACCAAATGGCACTATGGCTAGCCTAAATAGTTATAGGTTTATAGCCTAAATATCACTGACTCAACATAGCAGTGGTTAGCTCTCAACTATACAGGTTAACCCTTCCAGACACCCATATCTTACATTGACTGCTACCTGTAGTGCCATTTTGTCATTTCATCATATTGTGTATTAAACAAGCCCTGAAGTTCTGTGTGTGTACAAGTATCTGACCAGATTTTACAAACTTTAAAATTTTGGAAGATTTGTTTAGGACTGAAGCTGAAGATACACGACTTGTTTGGTTGTGTCGATTTTTTCTCTTAAATAACTTAATTGCTTGACTGATTTTTCACTGGCACATAAAAAAGTTTTGCACATACTTGTACTTCCATTACTAGATGATTAAAACCAGTTTTGTCCAAATGTCTGCTACTTAACGAGTCAACAACCAGTTCAAAATTAAGGTCAAGAAAGGTCATAGTTTTTCACTATACGGACCGTCCCTAAGCCGGCAAATAACATGTTTTTTTTTGACCTACAGTAAATTTGTTTTACAGATTACAAATGGGTTTGTTTATGCAACTTTGTCATTGAATTGGCTTGCGTGCTGTCTACTAACAATTTGTAAAAAATCTTCGCAACGAGCGAGTAACTCAGATAGTAGACAAAGAAAGATGAATTAAAGAACAGATTTTTTTTGAACTACTTTATGTTAGCTGCATTTATTTCACCAGTTAAGTTCTCCAAAACTTGTTTTTGCAGTGTGAAATTTCATGCGAAGTTTGAAGTTTTACTACAAAATCAATTTCTGTCAGTCGCTGCTATTAAAATCACTTGAAATCAGACTTTTCTACCCTAAATTGAATTGCAGAAAACGAGGGAATTCGTTGAGTGTATTCTACAGAAATTCTTCTAAATACGGCAACGATCAGAGGTAAACTCGACTGAAATTGGCTCAAATTGTACAGCGAGAGAAACACAGGATTACACACCATTACAGCGCCAAGCTACACACAGCAAAGCAAACTCTCACAACTTCAAAACACTCGATTGAATTTACTTACAGTGACTTGCCTTGCCATTTTAAAGTGAACAGAGATAAACTTGCATTGACTAATCATTGAAGGAAGTGTAAAAAAGGCAAAAGATTGACAATTACCGCTAACTTTTAGGAGCGAAATTTAGGAACCATAGTTGTTACAGTGGGGAAAAAATCTGGCCCATGGGCTGTATTGTAAAAAGCTGGACCAGTCACAAGCACGTGATTAGCCAATCATATTCGAGGATTTAGGATTCCGGCCCGGTTATTTATTTTTTATTTATTTATTTATTTATTTATTTATTTATTTATTAAGCTTCGGCCTACTATTACACATAAAGAAAAAGAAAANAAAAAAAAAAAAAAAAAAAAAAAAACAGACAGCAAAACAAAACAAAATGGCCAGGGGAGCCGCTACAGCTTAGCCAATTACATTCGCTTCTCGGAACAGATAATGTCCGCGGACAAATATCCGAGTGTATTTTCGCGCCAAATGGAGGATATAATTTGTTTATATATACCAAGTACTTTGTGATCGATATAAGCTTAAACTGCGGCTTAAGGTATGTTTCTTGATGAACTTCAGTACAAAACAAAGGTTACAGTTGTCACAGTTGTCACAGTTCAAGTTGAGTGAATGAATTTTTAATAAGCTTACTGAAAGCTTCATGCATTACTCACCAAGGGTAGCTATTCCATCCAATCTCCTTATCTAGAAAATTGAAGTAATGAAATTTAAATAGAATCAAGTCAACAAAAATGACAATTGAAGTACCTTCTTTAATTCTACGGACACTAACCTCTCTTCTGCTCTCTTGTTCACGAGCACAGTTCGCCAATACGCTTAGCGCCATGTCAGCAATTGTCCTATTTGGTTGCTGGATAAGACCTAAAAGTCGCTTTAAACCACTTTTAATACAAAACCAATGTACGTTTTCTTTGACTTTAGTCAGTTTTGTTAACTCGCTCAGAGCTTTTTTAGTTCCTGACTCCGATTTGGGGTTTAATTTCCCGATCAAACTCTCGATGTACTCGCCAGCAGCGGACGCCATCTTAGAACTTCCCGATGCGCAGCGGCGTAAAACTCGGAGAAGCCACTGCGCATCGTGCTTGTCTTTAGAGCTGACGGAAGCGATCGCTTCAAGAGGTTTGTATTTTTTTTTTTTTTTTGATGCAGTAAGCTCGTTAGATAAGTGCATTTAGTCCGTAAAAAGACTTTATGTACTTAGATAAGCTAGGTATATCAAATCATGGTTCAAAATAAGTCTAAAACCAGGCTTAAACCACGAAAAAGGGGTGAGGTTGGCACCCTGCACCCTTTGTGTGATGCCCTTTCTAGCTTCGGAGTTCTTCCAAACTCGTCTGCAAAGACCGTTGCGGCTATGCGATTGCAAGAGAAGAAAAAGAAAACCCCTGGGACATAAATGATGAACTGGAATTCAGTGGTGTGCTCGACCTCTGCACACCCTACAATGTTTTCTGCATGTCCTAGCTGAGTGTAGGATTGGAGAGGCCAGACTAAAATTCTTGTAAATATTTCACCCTTCAAAAAATTTACAATTTTATTAACCAAAGCCCTATGGAAAGTCCCATATGAAAGGATGCGGGCTTAAATCGAGGATCTGGGTTTGGATACGGTGTTTAGGGAAGAAAGTCAATCCCGGTTTTGGGTTGCCCAAGCAGAAGCAAAAAATGCTGTTATGCTGTGTTGGTGGCGTCTACCACGCCAATCAGGTGTGACATTGTTTTTAGAATATGGTAGTATATCTTAGGGTCGCCTATGAACAGGCTGCAGCTGGAAGGATCTGACTGGGGCTGCAAGGGTCTGACTGGGGCCGCAAGGGCCAAGAAGGAACTGGCTGTGAGTAAAGTGGCAGAGGGGGGAATGGTGTGGGGGTTGGTGTGTCAGACTCATGCTGGAAGTTTCTGACCATGGTTAGAAGGGCCAAGAAGGAACTGGCTGAGAGTAATGTGACCTCTTTCTTCCCACTTTCTTTTTGCCCCATCCTCGACTAGTTAGCCTGTTCACAGGTTAATTTTAGAGGCATTACCTGTATACAGCATGAGCCATTTCCAGACTGGTCTCACTTAGGGATCTAATTCATATTTTCATATCAACATTCCTAGCCATATCACATGGGAGATCTCTCTCCATAACCAATATTCAACCCTCGTCCAGCAATGTAAATTTACTTGTAAGTCTTAAAATGTGTCAGTTGTTCTAGAAAATGTCCATACCACTCCCATGAGAGGTTCTTTGAATCGATGAAGCGTACCCTACCTCTCCCGTATGGACTCTTTCTACCTCCTTTGGGTTTGATAAGGATTTATCTAGGGACTGTGTCACAAAACTGCATTTTCTTTCTTCAATCCCAGTCAGGTTTCTTGAATGAGGAAAAAAGGGTGGTGCAAAATGACTCCATTCATTAACGCTCCTAAAGATTCTTTGCTGAAGCAATCAAAGCAACCCAGTTCTCAAACAGCATGAATATTACCAAGTAAAGAACTTTGAAAGCATTAAAAGCCATCATCTATAATACTATCACAAGAACACAATGATTTAATATAGCAATTTGAAAACATTAGAAATGGGAACAAATTCAACTTCGTTACTTTAAAAAAGATTATACTTTACAAAACAGTTATAATCAATAAAAACATTTAATTTTTTCACTTTTATTTTTGGTTATTAATTTGTAGACCTGTAAAGAAAAATGTCGTCAGGTCAAATCCAAACAGTCCTTGGTCCCATAGCTCCCAGTGCATTGGGTCGCACCCTTACACATGAGCACATCAAGATGGATTACAAAAACTGTCTCAGACCACCCTGGAGGGTGTCAGATGCTGAAAGAATGACGAACTCTGAGTTTAACATGGCTAATCTGGGCTGGATACATCAGAATCCTTACAGTCACACATTTAACTTGGCTCTTGGAGATGAACCCTTTGAGGACATTGTAGGAGAACTGAACTTGTTCAAGCAAGAGGGGGGTCAGAGCATTGTTGAAGTTACCACTGTTGGTATCTCCAGGGATGTGGAGTACCTTGCTAAAGCTGCAACAGCAACTGGCTTGAATATCATTGCTGGCACAGGGTACTATTTGGACCACACCCTTCCAGCAGAAGTGAAGTCCTCATCTGTGGAGGAACTGAGCAAGGTTAGTTTATCCTTTAACAGATGGCAATGGCTTTGGCATAATTTGGCATTTATTTAATGGTAATGCAATAACACAGAATTAGGAAATAGAATTCCCAGGCACCATGGGGTTGCTTCTTTATAAAACAGATATGCTATTGGAAATTTTGAAAGAACCTCTGAAAGGTACCAACATCTTGTTTCATGGGTGAAGCTCAAATTTTTCTTGATCCCTAAGAGGTACAAATTCCAAAACAGCAAATCAACTGACAGTGACAACTTTTCGGCTCAATGGCCAGAAGGTACTGCAAGAACTCCCACAGTATTCATTATTATTATTTTTTAGATTTTGGCATCCTGAGTGAATCCAATCAACAAACTTTTTAGCCCCTAAAAGGTACAGCAGCAGCCTTTTTTACACTCAGCTGCTCAACTTTTTCAGTAGGTTGTGGTGTAAATGGCCATGAGCTTACTGATGTTTCTCTTTGGGGTTAGGTGGAGTGGGATTTAAGCCTTCCCCCCCTTTCCTTGTGCACATGCAGGTTAAACATGGTCAAAATAGCTAGCCACCGGACTTTTTTCATCTTTAGGTCCATCTCCCTGCATGGGAGATGGGGTCAATGCTCTCCATTAATTTCTATCAACTGCAACAATAGAGGCTTTAGCTCAAGATCTTACTCCAACCTCCTAATCCTTCAGGCTGGGAGTTTGGTGTGGAGCTTATCAAGAGACCCTGTAGAAATACACAGACTATGGAAATGGGAGGTACAAGTCACTTACTAGGTAAAAATACATGTAATAGAAAAGAAATAAGATTTGTTACTAAAACCCACTGAACTAAACATCAAGCTTGTTCTTTAATTAATAGACAATGATCAAGGAACTTACTGAGGGTGTTGGTGACTCCTCAATCAAGTGTGGTGTCATAGGAGAAATTGGCTGCTCATATCCACTAGAGCCTGCGGAGAAAAGGTCTCTAATAGCTGCAGCTGCGGCACAGTCTCAAACTGGGGCTCCTCTCATTATCCACCCTGGACGGAATGAGCTATCACCCATGGAGATTGTCCGTATTCTACAGGAAGCTGGTGCGGATATCAACAAAACAGTTATCTCTCATATTGATCGTACTGTCTTTGGTCGTGCAAAACTCTTGGAGTTGGCAGCCACAGGGGTTTATCTGGAATATGACCTGTTTGGAATTGAATTGTCTTATTACCCACCTAACCCAGCAGTTGACATGATGAGTGACGCTCAGAGGATCCAGAATATCAAATTTCTGGTGTCAGAGGGGTATGAAGATAAAGTTGTCATTGCTCATGATGTTCACACCCGTCATCGACTCGTCAAATATGGTGGCCATGGATACGCTCACATACAAGTGAATGCTGTTCCAAAAATGCTGTTGAGAGGGATTTCCCAAGAAGTAGTTGACAAAATTCAGATTTCAAACCCTAGAACTTGGTTAACATTCAAGTAAATAGTTAATGTTTTTTAGGTGTGTTTGTCAACATAGTGGATTATGTCCAGGTAGAGTAGGATTTTTACTAGGATTCTTAAATAAGTAAAGAATGACATAATTTATAAGTAATTTTAAGATGAAATCGATGTTTCTTTGCTTGCTGGGTATTTGCTGGTCAGGATGTATTTCAAGTTATCTTTATTGTAAAAAAAATTCCCGCTTGACCTGCACCTGTCCTGGATCTAACCCTACCCACCCCCTCCTCGAGAGCTTTTTTTCTCAGCCCGATCTTAATTTAAGGCTCAAAGGGCCCTACCTGACTTAATATTTAAAGAGGTCTGGATCCAGTCTTGGTAAAGTAACTTGACAATTTAAGAAATTGTTCTTGAACTTAGTGAAAACAGAATGATGAATTTGTACAAAATAAATATATAAAAAAAACATGACAAAATGTGAATTGTTTGGCTCAGTGAAAACAGATGATTTTGTGAAAACAAATTAAGAGAGGCTACAGTGTTGGTCAAAGTTCTTGGGACATATGACATATGACATTTGAAGTGGGAAATCATAATTCAATTTCTCTCGCCCAAAGCAATGCTGGAATAGTGGGTCGACTTTGGATGAATCAACTTCAACATTGTATTGGGGGTGGGGATGTGGAGGTGGACAGAAAGACTATGTTGACTACGTGTCCCAAGACTTATGACCAGGATTGTAGCATCATGTTATGAAAATACTGATATATATGGGTTATTGACCAAGTGTGAGGTCAAGATGGCTGGATATTGGCCAAGTTCTTTTTTGCGAGTTTATAGACCGAGACGGAGTTGAGGTTCATAAACTCGCAAAAAAAGAACGAGGCCAATATCCAGCCATCTTGACTGAACACGCTTGGTCTGACAATAAAGGATTGATTATGTGGCTTTCGGGGAAATTTTTCTTGCGGGGCACGGTGGGTAGTCCTGAGCGGGAAGATAGCTTCATCTTGCCCGCTTGGGTAGCCAATCACCGGGCAGGATTTGATTAATCTTGCCCGCTCACGGAGCTAGCCATATAATAAGTGTTTTTATTCTTAGTATAGGAGGAGAGAAAGAGAGATGGGTTCACTTGTTCACTAGAAGGGGTCAACCTTGATGGCTGCAGTCCTTTACTCCCTACTCACAACAGTTGAACTAAAACTGTCATGACTCTGGAAATCCTTTAGGTGGGCTGCTTGCAGTTGATCTTTTCTCCCAAAGTCCAAAAAGAGGCCTGTAGAGTGTGTATCCTGCAAACATGAATGAATGAACGGGGTATGGATGTGAGGTTTTGTGGCACACCCTTAATTCCTTTCTGAAAACCCTTGACCTGTGTATCCTGTTACAAGCAAAAACAAGCTGTAAGTGTCTACTTTGGGCAAGGGTAGGGGTTATAGTGTTCAGTGTTATTGTCCCCTTTCTCCTAGTAATTAGTATAAAATCTACCAGCTTTCTATCATAATTACCATTCTCTTGTTGGTTATGCTGCTCACTATCTATCCTGTTGTAGATAGTGAGTAACCAAGCCTCTTTGTGTTTTTAAAGTGTCTGTAATAAAGTTTTGAACGGCTAGTAGGTTTATACTAAAAAAATTACCATAGCTTATTATTTTGCTCTTGATTTCTGTGGATGATGGTTGACTTGGGTTGTGCCCTCTTCAACTGTCATGTGATAGAAATCTCTGGAATAATTATTAAACCACGATTGAAGTTCAGACGGTACCTTTGCTGGTTACATTCCATACCAGACTGCCCCACAATGGATCGCTTTACTTGCATGTGTAACTCAAAGATGAACCTTCTGACAGGCTACTATTGCTCTGACAACATTATTTATTTTTTCAAACTCTGACCCCAGCTATACCACTCTTATTCTTCAGTTTTCTGGTCTACATAGATACAAACCTTAGTAAATCAAGAAAAGCTACTATCAATATTTTCAATTGCCTAGAATTGACTCAGTAACCTGCAGTTTGGGCTGTCAGATGTATCTACAAGGACGTGCAAAGTTGATCACATTTATTTGTACTTCTGACAATCTTTGCTGTATGCATATGACTGGTTCGAGTGGGATATCAATTTGGCTTGTTGCGTTCTAGCCTGAGTATCAAGCTTCTCAAAAATGAGGGGAAAGGTAGAGGAAAACAGGTGGAAAAAATCCCTCCGGTTTTCTCCTCCTCCCCTCTATCTCGCGTTCCTCACCACGCCCATCATGTTTAAAATGCACGTGAGAGCCTGGGCCTGCTTAAAACTAATATGGCGGACGAGGAAGCGCGATTTTTGCAACTTTTCAAGTCAGCTAGCTGAACAGTACATTAAAATGGCATTATCACTACGACATGTGGCAGATCAGCTGTTTTCGGAAGTTCGAATAGCAAAAGAAAAGCATGGTCACTGTAAGTATCCTGAACTTGATCAGAATGGTTGTCTCCAGTTGTCTCATACAGGTGCCAGCTTATCTCACGTTGTCCTATTTGTTTTTGTTTCAGTGTCAGACGAATTACTTTCCGCGTAAGTGTAATTGGTCGTTATATAAACTTCTTCAGCGACTATAAACTTGTCTATTCACATCTCCTTTTTGTTGACTGCATGGGCCATATTCTGTGTTGTGTTAAAATACGTAGAGGATATTTAATACACGGCAGTGGGAAGGTACAAATTCTATGGCTAAATTAGGTTTTATTGTACCTGGGAACTCTGGAGATGTAAATTATACACCAATTTCGATATATTAAAATTCAGCCTAAAACAATAGACCTCAGTCCGAGTCTCTGGGGAATAACAGCAGAGTTTGTGGGGTATTCCGCAGAGCCTTGTGCTGAGGTCTACTGTGTTGAGCTGAATATCCACAGTCCACAGTGGTCAAGAAAAGTAAAATGATTGCCACTGAGGTCCGTGGTCCACAGTCCTGCTGTACAAATCTTTAAAGAAAGAAGCACAAAAGGCACAAAAGTTTGACATTGACAGAAGATTTTATCATTGATCCCTGAATTAGGGCTACACTGCAGTTGTTTACATGTACGGTTAGCTCTCAACAATGATAATGGTAGCGAGATACATATGGACATTTTTATGCCATTATTTTGAATTTATCCACTATGGACCATGGACTGCTGTGGCAGGGTATCGAAATCCATATGTCATACTTTTAAGTCTATCTACCACAGACTGTTGACTACAGATTGTGGGCCACCGAAGCAGAGAATCGAAATCCACGCATCAAAACCAGGGAAGGAGAGAATCAAAATCCTTATGTCATACTTTTAAGTTCATTGACTAAAGACTGTGGAAAAAAGTGGCATAGAAATGTTTTCTTATTATTTACTAGAAGACTGTGACACTATGTACTGCAAACCATCGTGATGCATACCTCATGCCTTAAGAGTTCGAGGGTTTAGTAAAATTGCTCCCCAGGCTAACAAAAAGTAGGCTAAAAGAAAATTAAGTAAGTCAAGGGCAATCAGTTGAGAAGGGGAGATTTTTTGCCTTGGTATGCTTTACTTCTCCGCCTCCCTCCAGTCCACCCCCTCCCCTTTAGTCTCCTTGTAAATCTGTCTTTGGCCTTATTATTCATCCAGACATTGTTTACAGGCCGTTTGGGCATGTCGGTGCAGGTTCAGTGTATACAGAGAAGAGACACTAGGACTATCCCTTTAGGTCAGACAAACTGACAAAAACATCTGTTTTCGCTGTTTTCTTTCATTACATGTAGGTTGCACTTCGTATTCCATCAACCACTGTTACATGCATTGGACCTGGTCGATCAGAAGAATGTCACCAAGTTAATAACACCAAGTGGAAGGGTCCTTTATCAGGTTGGTAACAAAAAAAGATATTTTGCAATGTTTTGATATAAATTACAAAATACGCCTCCTCTGGCTATTGAATACCTGCATTTGGGTCACAAGCTAGTGCAATATTTTTCCATGTAGTTAAGTTACTCCAGGTTCAGTTTTAAACAGGTTGTTTTGGGAGCTTGTGGGTGACAACCAGACTCTCAAAACAAGTGGATATCAAGCCTAAAAATGTATGAGTGTCAAATAAAATATGAGCATCTAATTTTTATGGGTATTTTGATAAATCTCCTGGTACCATTGTCAATACCCATACAGAGCGGATGCTAATATTCCTGAGTGATAATGTAGTACATAACAGACTCGTGAAATGAATATGAGCTAGTTTTTATGATGTAATCCGTTGGTCATATTCTGTATCAAATGACAGAATCCTGTATGTTCTGAACAAAAATTATAGTTATGTTAATGCATATCTTGTATTTGGGGATTACAACTTGCATTCATGTCTGGAGCATCCATGGTCAACTTTAACCGCAATGGAATTTGGAATTTGGAATTTGTTTGAGTCACAGTCATACAAATATACCACTGTACACTAACTTAATTTTTGTGCTCATTATATGTGTTTGTTATAAATCTAACCTTAATTCTGCAGTTTTTATTTCTTATCAAAGCTATGTCACTACCTCTACCATGCTAAATAACATTTCACACTCTTTGTAATAAATGAATGACAAATTTTTCTTATCATAGGTTGTAGGTAGTTCCAACCAGCTTTACAACTGCCTCATTACTGGAGATTTCTGTACTTGCCCATCTTACACATTCACTGGTATGATTTAGTTATAATGTTCATAAAGATTAAAATTGGTAAATTTTGGCTGATTCCAGGAATTTCAGTGTGGGATCTTTAAGCTCAAAGTATCAGACTTGGGTATGACAGCAAAGTTAGGGCTTGGTCTCTTGTTTTAAGAAAGATGTCGCTGCAAATTCTACAGCCAATTGTCAGCTATTGCTTTCAAGAGAGTTTCAAGACAAGTGCAAAGAACATGACCAACATAAATTGTTCACACCCTTTTAAGCAACTTTGATCAACAACTTGATTGACAGATGGGAGAATGGGCAGACAGACAGACAGACAGAGACAGACGTGAAAGACAGACAGGCAGCAGACAGAGAGACAGACAGACAAGAGAGGCAGACAGACAGATGGATAAAGGACAGAGTAACAAGTAAAACAGCCTGTGACAGCAATGTTTACAGTTAGTAGTCAGAATATTGTTCCTTCTTCCATATCATGAAACAAATTAACAGAAACTTGTTGGTTTTTTTTTTGCATGTACTTCTGACTCTGATTAGTGTTAGTCAAGATGGATTCCCTCATGGTGAGTGTAATAAGGATAAATCAAGATTGAAAATAGCTGCTGCAATAAAATATGATGTGGTTGTGAATTTACAGAGCAGACAGTGCAACACATAGTGAGTAGATGGCGTAAAGTAAGTCATACTGAGAAACTAAACAAATAAGAATAGTTGCATTTGGGAAGAATTGAGACGAATTTGGAGCTTGAAAAATAGAGGCTTAGCCCTTCAAAAGGTGTAGCCTGAATAGCTGGCGGTTCTTGACAAAGTAACACCAAATTCACAGTAGCCAAGCACAAGAAACGTTTTCCACTGCCGTCCATTAGCCTTCAAGATCTATCAACCGTTTTTTTTTTTTTAGTGCTAACGCCTTCTAACATTTTATTTTAAAACAATTTCACAGTGTAAACACCTACTGGCTATTCATCTCGCTGAAGCTCTTGGTAGATGCAGGACCCGAGACATCACTGATGAAGACTTTGTGGCCTACTTGTGTTACGATAGTGTCACAGATAACAGCAGGAACTAGAAACAATAGTCTTGTTATCCATTTCTCGCAATGACTTCTGATCTTTACTACCAGAAATTGAACGTTCTACAGAAGTAAATAAGTACATCTAACATGTCTCATTTTTTGCTGAATTTCGTTTTGAGTTACTAACTATGAAGTTTTTATCAGTCTATTGTAAAAGCTTATCAGCCTTTTGTTTCAACCAGATAGGTTTCACCCGGTTTTAAAGTGCAGCCAGGCTTCAATTTTCAGAAATAATTGGTTGTAACAAAGAAATTCCACAGTACCACCAGCTGTACATATGATACAATAATTCGTACTTTAATAAAGAAATTTCTATCTGTTGTCAATGCCCTACCAGTTCCCCATCAAACCATTTCACGGTGTTAAACAATTCAAGCGCGATATTTAATTGAGACAGTCAGTATTGTTCGAGAGGGAGTGTAAGAGGATCTTAATGGGATGGTGTCTTCTACGGCTTACGGTTAATATTTTTGGCTTTTTACGGCTTTTTCCTTACGGTTAACAAAAATGTTAGAAATTAATTTCCATTGTTTTGAAAAGTTTTAAATTAGTTTCATTGTTTAAAAAAAGAATTAAAAGTTTTCTTTGATTACTCTAAAACATTTAAGATCATAGGACCATTCCGGGACGGAAAAAGGTATTATTATAAGAACTGTAATAGTGTAGCATACAAGCCAGAAAACAAGACACCAAAAAAAGCCTTGATAAGAGATCTTGAGATTTTCATTTTCGTGGCTAAAATTTTTCTTACGGTTAATATTTCTTACGGCTGACGGTTAACATTTTCCAGTTTTTACGCCTAACGGATACATTTTGGCCTGTTTTACGGCTAACGGTTAACACCACGTGCCTGTTATATAGTTGCCCTTGCCAGCCGTCAGATTCTGGTGCAAGTGCGCGTACGATAGGTACGTGATATACGCATTTCTATGGAGCGATTTCCTTAGTGACTGTCATGAACAAACACTGAATAATCTAGTTAATCGTAAAAAATGGAACCATTTCGACAATCCGAAAAGAAGCTTCGCAAAAACATGCTTTGAGCGGTTTGTTTTCATCATGTAAAACCAACAACACGTTTTCTCAGTGTTTGTCAAAGCGTATCTACTGCACGCAAACTCATTCGTGCAGACAATCGACGGTTTTAGTTGAAGCTAAACCAGTGATATTGTGGAGAAGAAATCAGCGTTGAACCAGTGAAAGGCTTAATCCACACATCTAGCCAATCAAAGGCCACCTTTTCCTTCTTGCCAAGGCCCCTGTGAGACGGGAGGCTCCAATGCCACTGGAAATGAGGGCTCTGAGGACGAGAATGTTGTTGAACGTTTCGCGCGTGCGTTTTTTAGCTATGTCAAAGTGCCTCTGTGAGAGGCAGATGTGCTTCGACTGGTAATTAGGCACCAAATTCCCGCCGGGGTTAGCTTATTAATCATCAAAAACCGCAGGGAAAAGAACTGACAGGCAAATCGTGTTAACAAGAAGTCAGTTTTAACGCACATTTCTGGCTTGCACGCCCTGTGGTTAAACGTAAAGAGTCACTAAAAATTAAAATTTCGTTAGTTATGCCAAAAATATTAAAACTGTTTGAAATCCTTAGCTTTCAGCATTGTCTTTTGCCGCGATTTAGCGAGAAGACAAACACCACTTTACGATACTAGATAACAATCTTTTTAAACGTTAATCTTAAAATTCTTCGTCGGTTTTACATCATAAAAGCTCTTTAGCTTTTATGGTGTTTGCGCTAGTGTTTTGAGGTACTTAGTGCGGTTTTTAATGGAAAGCGTACGAGCGCGTGAGTCAACCTTTTCCGCTAATTTTGCCAAGGGACATATATGTATTAAAGAAAACAAATGTCTTCACCTTTGTATTGCTTGAGGTAATGATTTTTCACCTGAAATGGGGAACTATATTTTGGTTAGAAGAAGAAAGTCCTCGAGAATGGCTCTCACTTATTTCCATACTCATGACAAGAACAAAGCCCAATTTAGTTGTTCCTCCTTGTGTGCCGTTCGTGTCCAGTTTTCTTCATCAACTCTATTTGGGGGCATTTAGTTAATCAAAATGATGTTACTAGTTTCAAGTCAATTTAGAGTACAAACAAGCTAATTTAACTTCGATACAGATAAGGTTGCAATCTATGTTTCAAGTCAGATAGTCGAATTATGAGTTTAATGACTTTTTAAAAAAGATGAGAAAATCAGACAAGAATCACGAGATCCATAAGCGAAGGAAATCTTTGGGCTTTTCCCCTACTGGACTGGACAATCTTCTGCTCAATGTTTTCAAGTTTGTGTACGATGTTTGAAGTTGCGTGTTCCAATGTATTTCTTGCCCAATCACTAATTCGGCACTCTTCATTAAAAATTAATTCCTCCAATCGGAGGTCGCTGGCCCGGCTGGCTTAACTTTTCAATACATCGAATTGTCCAGTGTTGCCAAGTCGACACTCTTCGAACCGCAGGTGTGTTCCTCACGTACCCTCCGATATCTTTGAATTTCTTTTCTTGGAAGCTATCACTGACTTTGAGCAGAAACAAACTCTGGCTAGAGATAAAGCTGATACAATTGCAAGCAAACCAACTCTATTGGAAACAATTGACGATTTTCCCCTTCAGGTTCTCTCATACGTGGTAAGTATAATAATCTTTGGTTGTAGCAAAGGCTTGTAATGCCTTGTAGGGTAACTGTTTAACTAGGCGTAGATTGCCGCGAAAGTCGTCGACAATAGGTTTTTGACGGTAGATTCTACCGTCACGCAAATATTTCTTGATTTAGTCTAATAGCTTTTTAAATGCGCCCGATATAAATTTTTCCAGCTTGATTAATATTCGGTATGACAACACTGTGTGTATCATTTTATACCAGACGTAATTTTGTCACGGTATAGTAGTTCTTCTGCTACCATATCATATGCGTCCTTTTTTTAACTAGTCTTCTTCTCTCTATTCCGCGATGGTTTGATTTAGTGAAATTCGTCAATCAATCAGCCATCTAAAATAGCTTTCAAACGTTGAATAGCTAAATCATTTTTTATATTGCGTACGCCAGGTTTTTACTTTCCCGGAGCGTAACTTATAGTGTGTTATTTACTTAACTGTGTCAGTTTTCTCAAGATGTTTAGGGTAAATCATTTTCAGTTTCTAAAAGTATCGTCATTTCACGCAATATACGTTCATTATGTTTCTATAGAAAATTTTCAATCGTATTTGTAAAATTTTGTAAATTTATTTATGTGCATGTTTAGCATTGCCTAAAGGGAGATTTCACATCACAAGCAGCGAAAAGCTAGCTTCTGGCATGTTCTGTAACTTTATTTGCTTTTAAAACGTAGAAATTTATGTTTGACAATACTTGTCTAAATAAGTAACCGCAAAATAGATTCGTCAATCAAGATATTTTTAATAGGGCGATTTAAACAATAATTCTACATGGCAGACAAGATGCTAAAAATTTTATCAAAAATCTTTGCATAATTTAGACGGTCGTTTCATGGTTTGTCTTTGAATTTACATCACAATGTTAGAAAAAACCGTCGATAATTTTTTCACGCCTCCTCTTGCATGTTATCACCGTTTCGAAGAAAATGATATGGCATATTCCCAACCACATATAATAACCTTAATTTATTGCTGTAACTTGTTTATACTTCAAGAAGGCCAGGGGATGACATTCCCTTATTTCGTGGTCAGGCTGCCTGTCTTTCCAGTATAAATAAAACCTTTTTTCTGCACAACTTGAAACGGCAAATCAGTTTTTTATGCATTCCAGTTGAACTGGTTGACATAGTCAAAACAAAAAAATAACAAAAAAAAAATACATCCTTAATGAAAACGAAAACCACGTCTGGTAAAGTTATTGTGAAAAGTCAAATATTGGATGAATCTTGGGTCGATAAGTTTATCAAACGGAAATTCTCCAAGCGAGAGAAACGAATGTGGTAATTTGAAACCAAGTAGCTCATGTCGGTAGCACTTGTGCGACCCAGTGAAGAGACACCAGACGTATAATTTTGTTTTCCATTTGGAAAAATTTCCGGAAATTTCGGTCAGGATGAAAATGGACACAATTTTTCATTTCAAGCTACTGGAAATTTTAGGAGAGAAACTGAACTTCTGAAAAGGTAGTCGCTGAAATTCGCGCGTTCCATTTACCATTTTGTCACATTTACACCTGGGTTCCGAGTTTTTCGGTTTTCATGACCTCTCGCTTCGTTCGAAATGGAAAGTTCTTTGGGAAAACGTGAAATATATAAATGGAACCGACGTTCTTCCCGTACGTAATGTCAAGTCGACCATTCCGTTAACAAGCACTATCAATTTCCAACACCTCTGGGGTGTCTGCCGCAAAAAGAAAACAATATAAATTACCATGATATCGTTCCCCTGAAGAATTAAAATCCTGCGATACAAATAATCTAAACCTTATCCCCCAAAAGTTAAGGCAAAAAGGCGGGTTTTTTTTTAGAATTTTAAGTTTTCGTCTTCGTTGGAGGGAGAGCCAAAAGGAAGGTTTCTCTAAGAAAAGGGAAAATAATTTGCGTTATTTTGAGGGCAAATAAATTAGCTCATTGAAATGTCTTTTTCGTTGTTCCCACAGTATTTAGAGAAACACTCGTCGAAGTTTGCAAGTTAACGAAAGCAAATAGTTTCAACTTTCCTCCAGTCTTCGTATTTTTTATTTCCAAGCTTTGATTTGTCTTCAATTTGGTGACTTTTCTATGAAAGAAACTTCATCTAGTTATTTTATAATTCGGAATTTCCATTATTCATGGTTATAACTTAACAAGTCGAAAAGCTAATCTTTCGAAAGATGGCATCTTTCAACTTTTGGCTACTTTGTGCTGCCTCACACTCGATAGGGGATTTGCTCATGTAAGAAGGATGAAAAGTCTGCGCAGAAGGTTGTTCATCATAAGTCAGATATTTATTTATTTTTATGACGTACTTGCAAAAAACTTTGGACGTTAAAAGTTTGGAGCCCCACGGTAAGAATAGACGCAATGAATCGACAGAATCGTAAAACTTGTTACCTACGTAGACCATTTCATCTTTACTTTGTTTAGTTCGTTTTGTTCGTCATTTCCGCCACTCCTTTTAAAATTTCGAAATATATGTTACGACATCCATCATTATATAGTATTGTAATTTCATCTTTATAATAAGTAACATCTAAACCTGAAGAAGGCTGGTCTGGCCAGCCAAAATATTGTTTTAAATATACAACGTTATGTCCGCCTCGCGGTAGTCTTTGTCCTCATCGTTTTTACTTTTCAAATCTGGCTGATTAGATCTCCTGTGAGATCCACCGTTCAATCCAACAGGATCTCAGTTCGTTCATGGTAGGCCTAGCTACAATAATCCCGGAAAATCGTCTAAAAATCCATCCGGATAATCTCCTAAAAAGTTCTAAAATCTCAGAAAAAGTTCTGAAAATCTCAATTTTTTTCTTCTAGAAATCTCAAAATTTTAACGAAAAATATCAAAACATTTTCCAACAATTCGCGAGAATGCGTCAAAAAATCCCATCAATAGTTAAAATAAACTAAAGGTTAAACAAAGCCAATGATACGTTTTCATTTTAACTAATTAAGACGAATTCTGCTGTTCATGAAACGATGACTGAAGCCTCTTCTCACTCTTATATACATAGCTTTACGAGCGAATTGGTTTCCTAAAGGTCCGGTAATACGGGCAACATTTTCCTTCAACTTGACAAGTTGGTCATAAACGTGGTAATACGCGCAACAATGTGTTTCAACTTACATTGCAACAATGTTGCGAGACAAGTTGAAGCAAAATGTTGCCCGTATTACCGGATCTTTATGAGCATATAAAAACATTATTTATCTAATTCCTATCCCTAAATATTTTTTACGCTTTTTACAGACTTTTTTGGCTCTAAAAATTCTAAAAATCCTTGAACTTGCTAAATTCTTCTAAAAATCTCCGGACTCTCTAAAAATCTTTTCAGCGTCTAAAAATCTAAAAAAAAATTCGGATTTTTGTAGCTAAGCCTAATTGACGGCTTTGCAGTTTATTTAGTTTGTTGATTTTCGGATATTTTTTTTTTATCTCACTTTGGACGTATTTCGGACAAAATTTTCGGACACTTCGCTGAAACACAGCTAACGTAAATTTACTTCTACAAAACACGTTTTATAATGGAACAACATCTGTGATAATGGTAGTTTCATTCAGACTGCACCCTCAGGGTTTTATAGATCCACCGACGGGGAAAATAAGAATAATTCCATCAAGCCGTTACCTATCTCAAGCAGTAAACTAGAGTTCGCTCCATAAAGGAAACTAGCGGCTGGATCACGCTATCCACCGGATAGATCACTATTGTTAACAAAACTCATCGTTATCAAAACGCGATTTATCCGATGGATTGTGTTATCGACCTTTCGAACAACCCGGGCTTGTTCATTAAGTGTCCGCATTATGTATATTACTGCACTGTTGACCGAGTTGTCACCGAAGTATACATAGTTAAAACACACCGACGTCCTGTGTGTCAGCGCTGCAATAAGACGAGCAAATTAAGGGATTACAGAACTGGAATTGAACAAAATGATCGATTGACGTTCGAGAGGTTTTCTCTGAGCTCTATGATCACAGCATACTCATTAAAATAATCATTTGAGCATGTAGAGAACGTAAAAAGTTAACGTCCTACAGCAAAGAAATGCCCTAAGCTAAGTCAAGCAGAACTATAACACTTCTTCTTTTCGTAACTAAAACAAAAAAAAGCTTTTTTAGTGGAGTGCTGCCAATAACGCCGACGAAACAGTGGTGTTCCATATTTACCTGCATAAGGTAAACTACTTAATTAATGCTACCCTCTTTAGAATCTTGCTTTGTAACCAAAGGCGGTTATTTTTGTATGCATTTAATTGGTTTCAGGTGAAGACTGTATCGCCCCTGAAGTTTAC